CAAGCTTAAGGTCCCTAGCATGAAGTTTGCCCCCAGATTCCTTGGTCCCTATAGAGTGCTTCGTAGGATCAATCCAGTGTCTTAATCTCTGGCTCTTCCTGCATCTTTAGGGATTCCCAACACTTTTCATGTGTCCTTACTCAAACCTCTTGTCTGCAATAGATATACTGTTCCTTGTGTTCCTCCCCCTCCGGTGGTGGTGGGTGGTCAGGAAGAGTATGAGGTATCTTCTATCGTGGATTCTAGGTTTTCTCGGGGCACTTTACAGTACTTGGTTGTTTGGAAAGGTTACGGTCCTGCTGATCGTTCTTGGGTTTCGGCTCCTGACCTGCATGCGGGCCGTAAGATCCGCGCTTTTCACGCTAAATTTCCTCTCAAGCCTGGTCCTGTCCGCCCGGTGGGCGTTCTTCAGGTGGGGGGTAATGTCACGTATTCATCCGCTTATAGAAATGTGGTTAATGACATTTACTGTCCACACAGGAAAAGTTGTGCCGAGCAGCAACCTAATCCACAGAAGGGTTAATGCTGAGCAGTAATTGTGCAAATGAAACCTGGTGTCATGTATTCATCTGCTTAGAGAAAAATGATTAATGACATTTACTGTCCACACAGGAAAAGTTGTGCCGAGCAGCAACCTAATCCACCGAAGGGTTAATGCTCAGCAGCAATTATGCAAATGAAACCTGGTAACTGACTTTGGGGTCAAAGGCCGGTTACAGCCTATCAGAACTAAATGAGGTTTATTTAGGCCCAGTTCTCATCCTGCTCAGTGCCCTGTCGTGGTTTCCCTTGTGGTTGTCTGATAGCGCGTTCCTGTTTATAGTTTTCTACCTGGTTTTTGACTTTGGCTTTGTTTATTGACTTCTCTATATTCTGGTATCCTGACTCCTGGCTTTCCTCATCGCTGTGTCCCTTTCTGTGTTCCCTGACCTCGGCTAGTATTTTTGACTATTCTTTGTACGTTAAATCCGGCCATTCTAAGGACCGGTAATACGTTACTTATTTGTCATCCGTGCTGTACAGTTCTACGTGCTGGATCAAACAGTAATCCTGACACAAACAACCTGCCAGAGTATCTCACCACTGTCAATGCAATTCATCAGCTATATTACCAAAATAGCTCAATGAGTTAACTGCCCTTAGAGACACAGGATTATTTTTTTATTTTTTTTAATTAGCTTCCACCATTCAGTATTCTATAATTTTGTTCAGCTAAATGTTACTTAACCTATTTACTCGAATACTTATTTTATTGACCAGTTCAGTAAGGTAACATAGAGATATCCATGGCTATGTCATTTTGAGAGATCTCCCAGTCCCTGACATAAAACACCTAAACTTAAATTTAGCAAAGTCTCATAATGAGCAACTGATATCTGAAGTTTTTTCACACATTTTCTCTGAGTCCTTTACTATTAAGGAGAACAGGTTATCCCTCACTATTGACTGCTCTCCTCTGGATAAGAAGCAAACGTGCAGAGCTTCCTCTGGTGATTGGCAGCAACAACTATCAAAATAGCCCTGTGGGTAATTATACGTGATGAGAAAAAACAATCCATGTTATAAACATGTTCTGTTTATACATTAAGTAAGTAGACAAATAATAAATGGATGGATGGATGGAACGAAGTCCATGATAAGTGTGGAGCAGTAGAAATATAGTGTTTATTTAATAAACTTGCTAACTGGCAGGTTTTCAATCTGAGTGTAGAGTGAAAATATACTTAACTGACTATTAACTTTCAGACCAAGTGTCAAAATTCTTCAGTTCACTTATTTTTTCAGCTTGACTGTTTTGGCCTAACTTTTTACAATTCCTGGTTATGTTCCAATAATTCTGGTCTACTGTATAACATTGGATGTGTTTTATTATTTAAACCAACTGGCTTTTCCTTCTATTATTTATAAATCTGCTGCCTTTGGCACGGTGGTGTAATATGTCTGAAAATAAAGGTCCAAGAGTAAAACATACTTTGCCAATCAGAAACAATATTAAATAACCAAAACAGAAAGGGTCAAAATAAGATGCAGTCATTTCATTGGTACCTATAGTGCACTTCAATCCAATCCTTAGTAAATAAACACCTTTGCATTGTATCATCTCTGTCATCCAGCTATATAGTTAAAGTTCTTTTTGGTCTGAGGCATCACACTTGGTTTATGATGAGGAATCCAGTTGCATGAATGAGACGATCCAAGCTGATGATGTGACACAGGTTAAATGATGTGTTAGTTTAGGAACATTAAGCGCCTCTCTTTATCTTTCCTTGTCTCCATCCATGACTGACCTCCAATCGCCACTGACACTACTGCCACATTCATGTTACTAACACTTACTCACTGAATCACCTGTATTTAGCCAACCTGACCGAATTCTAGGCTCTATGTTATGATGAGATTATTTTGTATTTTATTTTAATATAGTATGTTGGAGCATCTGATCAGTTGTATTTATTTCCAATAATCAATGTATTATTGTTCCCCAATAGTTCTTTAAACAGTTAGATATTATTATAATTATTATTTATAAAGTGCTAAATTCTGGAACGCTGTACAGAAGAAAGAAAAGGGGATTTTTATCTCATAAGAAATTTAAGAATTGAAAGATTAATTCTCAGAGAAAATATTTAATTAAGATGTTATAGATCCATTATTTATTAAAAAAAAATATATAAAACCACAAACTATAATAAAGAAAAACAGACCCACTGTTAAAGTAGTAACAGTATTGCTGCTAGGAAGATTAGACAGTAGGGGGAGCAGTAGCAAGTATATATAGTTATAAAAAGTACACAACTTTAAACAACTTTAGCTTAATGAATCAGTTTTGGTATATAGATCATGCCCCTCCAGTATCACTGCTCAGTTCTCTGCCATTTAGGAGTTAAATCCCTTTTGTTTATGTTTATACAGCCCTGACCACACCTACCTGGCTGTTACTGACATGGGGGGAAAATGCATGAAACAAATGGTTTCATGTTCAATCAGATTTTAACTTACTTTAGAAGTGTAAATCTCCTACTCTATAAATTGACTTTTAATCACACTCAGAAGTCTCCTGCAAGGTCTAGCAAGCCATTGACAGAGCAGGAGATAAGAAATTCTAAATTAAACAGAATTAGCAATAAAGGAAGAGGAAACATTAAATCTCACTTTACATGAAGTGTTTAGGAAGGTTGTGCATGTTACATTCAGGGAGGTGTGACTTGGGCTACATAACAAAAATGATTTAACTTCTAAATGACAAAAAATTGAGCATTGCTTCATTAAGGTAAAGTTGTTTAGATAAGATACAGAGGAAGAACTCATTTGTTATGAAATCAGGACTGGTGGTGGGATGTACTGTGGGAACATGTTAGTCACTTGCATCACCGATTACATCCAAAATAGGCATTATATGGAAAGGGGACAGGGTGACAAAAAGGAGAGGTGTGTCAACACATGTGTGAATACTTTTGGACATGGGCTTCATGCCCTGATTATATTTTGCATTGTGTGAGTGTGCATTTTAATGTGCTCACGCTGAATGGGGGCAATTTCCTGATGTCTCCAGATGCAGAACACCAGGTAACCAACTCATATTGTTGGGACAGAACATTGAAATCAGGATGGTCTCGCCAGATGCAGGATTGTTGGGAGGGTATGTAAGTGATTGGGTCAAGGAAGTGAATAGACAGAAGAACAACCACATACACCTAATCCAGTTTTTTGGTGTTTTTTACTAAACTAAACCACCAGGTGTACACAGCTGTGTATAAATAGTATTTTAATGTATACAAATGTAGTTTTAATGGGCTGAGGACAACACTGTAACTAAGCATGATAAAAAAAGACATTCCACATAAAAATAACATTATAACATTATTGTCACATTCTCAACACACTTAGAACCCAAACCGTTTTATTAAAACGAGCCTTGAAAGTTTCCAGTTTTTACAATTAAATTCCCAAAAGACTCAATAGGTCTTCAAGCAAGCAACCAGTGGCTCATATCAAATATGGCAGCTGCCACATCTGAGTGACTTCCAGAGGATATTAGACAGATTTTTAGATTGTATTACATATACACTGACACCAGTATTTTAGAGAAGAAAAACATGTATTTTGAAGGAAGCCTAAAATCACAAGATTATGTTTAAGTTGTTCTATCATGCATACTGTCATAAAATAAAATGAATGTAATTAAATATTGCTATGTATTAGAATTTATAGTTTTGTGTTTTTTTAAGTATGGGAATAACTTGTTTTTTTAATTATCCTTTATTTTTGTTGTGTAAAACAGGATAACAAGCAGGCTGACAATGCCACAATAGCAGAGTCCAGCACATTAGCCTTTACATTTTGTGACATTGTAATGGCATGCATGACAGTTACACTAGTAACTAGTAACTAGTTACACAAGCAAAACCTAATATTAAACATGGTGAGAAACTGTGGTATCACATTGCTAGCCGATCGCTAAGTTATATGGAGTGCATGTGATCGCTATTTAATAAAAGATAAATAGAAAGTAAACCTCCCATGTAATGGCAGGGAGCAGGGTATACTAGTTTGCGGAGGGAGTAACTGTGGGGTCACCTGTCAAATACATTGTGAAAGTAAATTGAGCGCATGTCACCTTTAAGTAAAAAGGAAAAGAAAAGTGAAAACGTGAGGTTTCGGATTAGTGCCTCTAAGTCGCCTTTGGTTGAGGGCCGATACGACTGGGTCAGTTAAGTTGTGAAGCAGACATATGATGGGGTACACCTCGAAAATACCACGGTGTAGCCAATTAAGAGGTCTTGAGGTGTGGGGGGGGGGGGTATTAATGGAGCTGTTATCGCTCGGTAGTGTGAATGGGAGAGAAACTAAGAAATTAATATTTAAAAGATGATCTTATCGGCTGTGGGTCAATAGAAAAAAGGAGCCATATAAAAATAGAAAGGATGTACTTTCAAGCTCAGGAACAGCAATGTCCTCTTGGACTGCATAGCTGCCAGGCTACAACTTGCTTGCAGGTCTCAGGTCATTGCTGCGATGTATGGATCAACGGTGGGATGCCTCAGAGTGAACGGGTTAATTCTGTCTGGGTTCCAATTATGAGAGGGAACTGCAGGTAAGGCTCCGGGGGGCAAGTCCCGTGGCAGGCCCAGAGTTCTCAATGCGGCCTTCGCCACCGTGATATCTTGGATGAATATTATGCGCCTTTCCTGGGTCTCGAGGGTATGTTGTACCTCTTGGGAAGACTTGTCCAGGGTCGTGAGTTGTGGTGTGTGGTCGCTTGTGGTTTGTTCCACCGCCTGTAGCCGACCCGTGAGGCATGCGAAGTCTGATCTGATTGCCGCCACAGTGTGGCCTGCAGTTGCTTTTGGCCTTGAAGGTTGGGGATTGTCCTCCTTTTCGGGTGATAGTTCCTCCAAGGAGTCTGTGTAGCCAAGAATGGAGTTCCCAATAGGCCCTGGCCTATCAGAAGAGATCTACGATATCACCACCCAATTTTGGTTTATCCGGCCGGCTTTTTTGGATTTGCGACCCATCTTCATTCACACCGGGCTGGGTCACAATATTTCCTTGAATTAAGGTGTATTTTTGTTATAAATAAACCAATATTGCTCGCTTGTGCACGGAGCCGAGGAAACACACATCCATTAACAGCAAAGGCTAGGCTCCGCCCCATGGGAATTACTTTTATAACAAATTTTTACAAATGTGTACCTTTGATTTTGTCAACAGTGTATTACAATTGGTGTAACGATACACACTATATTTCAAAGTAAATTTATTTTATTTGAAGAATGTTTGTTTAACCCTTCATGACAGATGACATTCCAGGGTTGCCAAGATATGAAGGATTCACCAAACCCATTCTTCTGAAATACTCAAACATGCTTTAGCCCAGGTATCAATCCTTTCTGATTTGAAGCCCATATCAACCTGTAAGAAATGTGTGAGAATTGGTTAAAAATAAACAAAAACTTGTCACAAAAGAAAGAGTACTATCAGTCTATCTGCATTTAAGGAATTGATCAATTTTGACAAAATTACCAAAATGTAATACACTTCATTTTACAAGTTCAATATCAGCTTAATAGCCCCAACAGCGAGCATTAACCCTCTAAGCCTACTTCCTCTGAGTGGGAGAATCCAGGGATCTATCGTTGGCTCATCACTTTCAGTTTGAAAAACGTTTTATGAATAAGAGAATGTAAAGGTATTGCAAATATGTAGATCACTGGTAATGTCACTTTTAAAATGGGAAACCATTTGTATACATCCCATACTGGGTCGTGCTTTTTTAAAAGTTACATGAGCTGTATTATTATTATTATTATTACTATAGTATATTAGCAGAGGAAGCCAGTACAACATTTATTTTCAGATGACTATACTGAATTTATTAAAACAATTACACTTTAAATATCAGGGTATTTCCTGTTTCTAAATAGTCTTCATAAGCTATGATATTTGGTGCCCCCTTGTGTTGTATACAGCCATTACAACAGCCACTTCCAGGTTATTATTATTATTATTATTATTATAATTATAGCAGCAACATATTCCATGGCATTTTACAACTATAAAAAGTGGATATTTAGAGGTAAAAAAAGATGTGCTCAAACAAGATCACAATATGCAATAGTCAATGTTATATTTAAAAAAAAAAAATTGTCTAGTGCTAGGAGGCCGATGCATCATACCAACGAGGTTCCAAAGTGATACCATCGAGGTTAATGATGTGGGATTTTGTTTGTTCTAATACAGAGACTTTTTTTTCTCAAATTTCATTGTTTGAATACCGAATTGTTTGAGTACGGGAGCGTTCCAGAACTGAGGTTCCACTGTATTTAATATTAGGTGCAAAAGCACAGTGTACTGTGGAAGCTATTCTTCTGACATTACCTACAGTTCCCAATGCCTGCAAGAGCCAACAGATTTTTTTAGTCTGTTCTTATCTACGTGGTTTCCAGTGCTGTGATGAAATTACTGGGACATAACTTTCTCTTAAATATCCTACTCTCAATCCTTTTCACTAAGGGAATTAGGAAACGTGACTATTAAAATGTAATTTATTTCTATAAAGCCTATAGATAGACTTCAGGAGGGAAACGACTCTTTAAAACATTCTTTTTGAACGTGCTTTACCCATAAATACACTTTAAATGTGACTCTTCACTTTCTTCTCTAGAAACACTTGTAATGTAGCCTATCCATAGTTAGTACTGGCTCATGTTATTGATCATATTTAAAACATTTTTGCAAGTCCTCGGTGTGATAGCATATGTAGTTTCTGTGGAGCCTTAAAACATGCAGGCGTCCCGTCACGGTATGCCAAGTGATGTTATATAAAACAGAAGGACCAGTGTATACAACACAAATTGTAAAATGATACACTGCAGTTAATTGGAGCCGCAGCTATAGTGTTGTTGATAGTGTGCAGATTCCTGTGGGTAGCAAACTCTTAAATGTGTATGTTTTCTTCTCCTTAATCAGTAATGTTATACATATGTACATGCATATATATATTGTATGTATATACACATCATCTTGATAAAGACCCGATGTGAATCAAAATGTTTTTTCTTTTAAATCTTCTGCTTTGCTCAAGCAAGATCTGAAGTAGATTCATTCTCCACAATGGGACAGATATTTATAGTGTCTCTGTCAAATAACATGAGGCAAACGACTATATGTTCCCTGCCTTTTAAAAGATTATGGACTTCTGCTGCCATCTCCTGGACAAAGGAAGTTCTGACAATCGATTTTTTTTTTTTAATTCTTTATTTTTCACAGTCAACAAGATATACATGTTGTGTATAATACATTCCATGAAGCATATCACTGTTTTTAATCATCTGCATACATTGGTGGGATAGCGATGTTGGCTGTGATTTTTTGTTTATGGTAATGTAGCTTGTTACTGCCATGGTCATGTCTCTAGCGGTGGTTGTGGTTAATGTAGGTGTCAGGGACATGTATGGCTCTGTGGTATCAGAAATTGAGAGAGAGTGCGATATATTTCTATGGCGGGTTGGGTGCTGAGTGGGCACAGCTCCACTTGGTTGAGTAGGTGTAAGTGGTTCCTAGCGCGGAGCTGGGGGGGTAAGGTGTTCGTTAAGGAGCTAGTGTTTCCGAGTTTTGGCTTGTTTAGGTCTGGGAGGTGGTAGAGATGGGTACGGCCCGCTGTTGATGCACGGCGTGGTATGTTGTGCGGTGTCTAAGAGGTGTATAAAACACAAACAAAAACATAGGGGGGTACAATACGAACGGTATAACTTATGCTGCGTCTACAGTTCCTCAGCGTGAGGCTGGCCCTATGAGGTGCCTGTGCCTCATAATACGAAAAAACAAGAGTTTAAGTAACAATATATAAAAGAAACTATATAAAAGAAACTACATAATTTCCAGAGTCAGGTAGTTGCACGGCTGGGTATGTTCCGATTTGCAGGGATGAACGGGCCAGAGTTGGCCGGGTCCAATGCTGACGGTGCCGGCGTTGCTGCGTGGTTCAGGCCCAGAGTGTTCAGGGTTGCTTCTATCTGCGATGCCTCCGCTACCTTGATCTCCGTGTTTTGGTGCTGGATAATTAGCGTGCGTGTTGGGACCCATCGGTACTTGATTCCCTTCGTTGATAATATGGATGTGAGGGGTCTTAGCGTCTTCTGCCACTGAAGTGTCGGTCGGGAGAGATCTGAGTAGAAGGTAATGTCCATTTCCTCAAAGCGGAATGGGGGTTTCCCCCTCGCTGCTTTCATGATGGCTGCCTTATCTTGGCCATTTTGGAATTTGACCAGTAGGTCGCTGGTGTTGGAGGCCACAGCTGCAGGAGGCTTGGGGAGCCAAAACATCCCCTCTAGTGTGATACCTTTCGCCTGTTTGGGTGATAACAGGGCTGTGAAGAGCCTCCGCAGGCAGTGCGGCAGTTCTGCTTGTGTGATATTGTCCATGAGGCCCCTGATTTTCAGGTGTTTCCACCTTCTCTTGTCCTCCATTGCTGCTAATTGGTGACTTAGAGTGGTGTGAGCTGCAGTGAGGGTGTCAATCTGATTCTGTAGCTCTAGAACGTGGGCTGCATGTGTTGTGGTTGTCTGCTCAATTGTGTTTTGGCGCCCATTAAACCCCTTGAGGTCTTCTCTCACCTAGGAGATTTCTGAGGTGAGGCTGTGACGGAGGTCCGCCAGGAGGCCGGTAAGTATCCCTGTGGTGAGCGGTTCTGACCCTTTGGCTGCTGGCAGGGCAGGTGTTGGAGGATTGGTTCCCCGCTCTTCTATATTGTGGAGGGAATAGTCAGCCAAGTCATCGGAGAAATCTCCCATGTCCGCCACCATGTCAGTTCTCCCCGCGCCATGCGGCCCCCTGAGGAGGTCGCCGATATCGGCACAGAATCTTGGTCAATCCGGACGGGGTTTTTTAGTTTTTCTCCCCATCGTAAGGAGAGCTGTCTGGAGCTTGTTGGGGGGTGTTGTACCCCTGTTTTCAGCAGGATTCGGGCGTTTTTCGTGCCCGTTTTGTCGGAGCTCAAGGAGAGAGCGACCGTTGCCGTCAGGTGCTAACTCCGCCCCCCTGACAATCAATTTTTGATATTAACCCAATGTTGTTCCTGGTGATAACGTGCTTTCAGAAATTTTAATGAAAACAGTTGCATATGAAAAATTTAGTTTCTCCAAATAGATTCGTCCAAAAAAAAATGAATAAAAATTGCTCTTTTGGGTGATTCAGTTTTTGCCTATACGGTGTCTCAGTTTGGATGAATTTCATCCATACAATTGTTTCAGGAGAAAGCAATTTCAATGAACCAAAATGGTGACAAAATGCTCCTACTTTTTGTGCCCTTTGGTTCACAGATCAAGTGAAAAGGAGTAACAAATAAGGGGAAAAAAGAGGAACAATATATATTTTACATTACATATTTGTTAAATATATATAAATATAGAATTTTTTTTACTGCTTCTCTTTTCTTCCCTGTATTAGTCAACATTAACAAATCAACATTAAGTGTCTGTCCCATAAACATCATCTTTTTTTCCATAAATCTTTTTTTTTATTAATGCCACAGATGGAACTATTATTAGACAAACAAAGAAAATGGCTCGTTCAATGTCTATTTAATTTGTTTTGTGTTTTCTCCATATGGTAATTAGGAGTTCGAGATTAACTACATCTATATCTTATCTCTTGTTTTATTATTTATTTAGCCTACTGTATATGCTCTGATACTTGTTCATAGCAACTTCCTAGATTAAAAGTAGTATATGATATTTCAATAAGGGAGCTCTTTGTTAATATCCTAAAATACTTTTCTAAAATGTCCAATTTAGTATTCATATATAGGTTCAAGGATCGTAAATTATACCCAGGGTAGAGTGATTCCTGAGGGTCAATAGAATGGCACACAAGGTAAAAAGGGTACAGAAGAGGCATGGTCAGGGCCGGTGCAAGGATTTTTGGGTACATAGACGAAGATGTATTTTTCCACCCCCCCCACCCCCTCAAAAAAATCACATCTTCACCTATGTGCCTCTAAAGCAGCCCCTTTCCCCTCCCCATCCATTAGTGGACGCGCCGGCCCTGGACAGTGTATTGAGACAAGATAACAAACAACAAGTATGACTTACATGGTAATGGCACAAGGGAAGAAATCTACAAGAAAAGCGTATGGAAAAAGCTAAGGAATGTTAG